GATTTGGGCCGGGTTGAGGGGATTATTGGGTTGGGTCGGCTGGAATGGAAAAGAATTGGAAAAGAAGTGGGCTGGGGGTAATTGTTTTGGGCTGCTGGAGGGAGTATAATGGGCTGGGAATTTATTTGTGATTGGGAATTGGGCCTGCTGGAGTGAAACAAAAAGGCCCAAAATTAAACTTAAAAGATGGGATGAATTGTTATTAAATAATGGATTTCAATTATAGCCTAATAGAATTTAATTGGTGAATTCAACTAAAATTTAAACAAGATGAGTTAGTATAAATTAATTAATGAGCTTCTTAATCCTAACGAAATAAGAAATAATTAAATTAATTATAAACTAGCTAATTCAATTACAAAACCAATTAACTCGATATTATAACTATAGCTAATTCAAATATTTATAAAATAACGTGATTGCAAAAATATACATATTTATTATTTAAAATCATTAAACTTATTTAAAATGACAAAATTACTTTTAAAAATAACTTGGAAGTATTTTGAATTTCATAAAACTCATTAATTCAAAATTATAACTATTCCTAAATTTAAAATATAAAACCCCTTTTTTTTTTCTTCTTTTTTTTTAAGACTATTTTCGAATAATAATAAAATATACTAATTGTATACATAATTATGTAAAACATATATATCATCTAAAAATTATGAGAAGTGACAAAACTATTTAAAAATCTCGCAAACTATATTATTCTTATTATTATTTATTATTATTATTATTATTATTATTTATTTATTTTATTTTATTTTTGGAAATTCTATAAAACTAATTATTTTAAATCGTTTGAAATTGGAGAAGCTCGAAATGATTAATTTATATTGTGGAGGGTCAAAATTGGGTGTTAACAGTAACTTGAAGAGTTCTACTTTAAGTGAGACTCCTTCTTCAATTAAAACTCTTCGCCTCTTTAGATTCCTTCTTCAAATTGAACTCATCGATTCTTTCTCTTCAATTCCTCAGATGTTTACTTCCGTGGGTTTTCTCTCGAAATTAGCATTATCCATTCCTTTACTTCTGCACTCTTATCTTTATTCATTTTAAAAGCTTTCTCGAATTCAACTGCTCGTGATAGTGCACATTTGGATCATGTTGACTGACGTGTTTCATCTTTCCTTGTCAATCATCAAAACTGCATAAATCCCAACACAATACTATACTACTCCATTTCTTTTCTTTTTCTTTATGTCTTTAGTATTTGAAATTTACTAGTGCAACTATAATTCAGATTCATCTGACATATATCGACTCATTATAAGGAAAATGCCTCTTTATCAAATTTATAAACTTTTAATTAAAAATGAATGGATCATATTCATCGTTGATAGTTGAAATAAATATACTTTAAATATTACTCGTGAGATTGTCCTTGTGGCAAGTAAGGTAATTTGTCAGCTTCCCTTGCACTTAACAGTTTAGGTGCTTGATTATCAACCACAACCACAACTGATTAACATATCACCGTGACCAAACTCCAACCATAATCTAGTCTTAATTAGATCATATAAGGTATGTCATTACACATATGTTATGATTTTACTCGTGGCGATGACATCAAATAGCCGGTGACCAGCAAGGTTTCATCGTACCAGGCTTGTCTACGAGTTATCTCTGTTGTGTGGTTTGCGAGCTATTGCATTATGCATAGGAGCAATGGTTTTACATGTGCGTACCCAAAGAATAGCGATTGTAAATTTCTCTCGTCGTAAAAAAAAATACTACCTATATCATTAAATAACTGTCTAAAGTATTACTAGTCAATATTTAGATTTTCAAAATATAATTAATAAAGTTAATCTAGTAAAAAAGGGACTATTAATAAAAAAATTCTTTAAAAAAGCGTCAATTTTTCAACCTGGCCAAGTAAAATGAAACATGGAATACGTACCTAGCAAAGTCTCATATAAGAGAACTTGTGCTGAACATATAAGGTAAAGAATCCTTATGGGAAAGTGCGTTTCATTCTATTTATCATCCCACTAAATGATTAAAGAAAAGTTGCAAAGATTTCACTTTAATTTGTACAAATGATTAAAGAGATACCCAACAGATTCACACACGATATCTATGAGTGAGTTTTAGCCACAGATGAATTATATTCCGTTTTCAAATATCAAATACCGCTCTCCAATCCTTAAACTTTTTGACTTAATAACATTTATTATTAGTAAATTCATACTATATATGCTTTAATCAGCAAGATGTACATGCATACTTATGGGGAAAAAATAAAAATAAAAGCTGTAGTGCATGCTATCCAGAAAAAGAATTAAAGTTAATGAAAAAGAGATTCTTAATAAGAAAAAAGAAAAATAAAGTCGATGAAACTGATAAAAAAGTATGAAAAAAGGAGAAAGAAAATCTCCCAGGACCACTTTATCATATCATAATTAAACAGCACATGATGTTTTAAATATGGAGCTAGCAGCAATATATGTGTGTTTAATATAACTGTTCCATCTCTTAAGAGCCTCATTAGATTGTCTCACCTCTCTCCTTTTTTTTGTCCTATATATCAATAATATAAAAACTCCTCTCTCAATTAAGAAGTGTTTTCTTCAATAATAAAAGAAAAGACCAAAGAAATATTCATATTGAAAAGCTAGGCCTTAACCACAAATAATAATGAGATAAAGCACTTCGATGTACCTAAGGGGCTCTAGCACGACAAACAAGGGATAAAATATCATAATAATTAATTTTAGGATGAATTAATCTTATCATGAAACTATTTATCTTGAGATAATAATGTTAGTTTTATCTGTATTGAGAGTGAATAACAATTATAAAATAATTAATTTTAAAATAAATTGTTTCTTAACCAAGAGAACCGAGAAGTGAGATGATAATTGATAGGTGAGGACTGAGGATCCTGTTAAATTAATATATGACTTTATGTCCAATTTTATATTTGTATTCTTATTTACAATATAATATGTAGGAGAAAAAATTGTCAAAGTACGTACCCGGCCGGCAATAACAGTTTCATCATTCGTGACAAACAAATTATAATTAGTACAACAACTAGCTAAGCACGTACGTATTAGTGATGAAAAAAAGTCTTATCAGTTTAATCCATAGCTAATTGCCACCCCAGGAAATAATTAAAAATGAGATGATGATAATTATAATATTAATGATGACATCATCAAAGATAATTAAGTCAAAAATAAAATTGTTTCAACATAATACATAAATATGTCATTTAACTTGCCTTCATTTCATACTCATGCTCTCAAACTTTGAGTGTATACAAATAAAAATAGACACATATGTCCTACATGACATTCTACATGACAATTTATGTCCTACGTACGTGTATTATAGCTAAGAGGGAAATGAGATTTCAATGCTAGAAAAAAGAACTCCAAATAATTATGGCAAAGCAGCAATTCTGATTTGTTATTGGTAAATGAAATTTAAACACATATGAGTAAATTTGAAGGAGCTTGTAAATTCCAAGAAATTTCAAACATAAAGAAAGGCAATTTTGTATATTGAAAACAACAAGTAGTAGAAAGAGTTGTGAAAACATGGAAGGTGTGGATTCCTTTGCTGCTTAATGCCAAAACAGAAGAATTGTCCCTTTATTCCACATCTTTGATATTACCCATATACTAACAGACAAAATTTAAAACCTTTTAAAGACAAAATCGTAGGTTAGTTTTGTCTCAATCTTATCTCACTCTCCTTGTTTTTTCCCTAATATATATATATATATATATATATATATATATATATATATATATTCAATAATCTAAACAAACAACCAAGTTGGTTGAGCAAGAAAATTTTTAATTAAAGATCTCATTTTTGAAATTCCTCATATATTTTTTAGTTGAGTTCATTGTACAGACTTTTTTAGGTATGATTTACCTCATATGATTTATGATTTATTATGTTAAGAGTAATGTTTATTATACCGTATTATTTGTGCGTGAATTATTATAGTGGAATGAGATTTATATGTGGGATTTTTTTCATTAGTAAAAGATAAAATTAAGTTATATTATACATGTACGAGCCATGACTTACTAAATTATGGTTAATTAATCCATATTTATCCATTAGAAAAGACTATTATCATTCGCTACTAAGTACTAACTAACTAAATAAGTTAGTTTTTTGTTTTAAAATATTCAAGTTTCTATGATTGAAACCCATCTTAATATCGACACGTGGAGGTCAACAGAATGGCTAGGACTTCCAATATAAGCAATCTATTTTTTCAGCGGAGCTTTAATTATTAATTATCTGTCATTGTTAATACTTAATAGCTTTCGTCATTTTTAAACAAACCATACGGCTAGTTTTACGTTCAAGGTTAGTTAGTTAAACAAATTTTGTCAGTGAATAGTATTTTTATATAGTATATTAACCTCCTCGTTCAAATAAACTTCAATCTAACGTATAATAAATTTAAATTTGTATTATTGAAAGCGTAACATATATTATATATAAATACACGATACTAATGTAATTAATTATCACTGATAGCACAAAATAGGAATATATATATATATCAAAGGGTCGTTTGGTCCACAAAATTATTTTAAAATTATAGTATGAATTATAACTTTGAGACCAGTTTATCTTGTATTATAGATAAATATAAAATAATACAAATCAATATAATCAAATATAATATAAAAGAGAAATTTTAAGTATATACTCACCTCCTCTAATCTCATCTTCCTAATATAGAAAAGAAAACAGACCACAAAGGAAATATGAAGCTTCTAGATTTTGGATGGATTTGTAAACTTAACAAAAAAATAAGTTATACGTATTTTTGTTAAAAATAAAGAAGAGAATAGTCAAATTACTAAAGATATTAAAGTCTTCTGCACCACAGATATAAATAAAATTTATTAGTATCAAATTTCATTTACTTTTAATACTCGTAAATTGATTAGAGGATTTATGGCCTTGGTGTTTTCTATTCTTATTTTTGTTAAAATATAGTAGTATATTTTTCAGACAAAAAAGCGAACATCTCGTCGTTTCCTTTTTATCGCCTTCTGCCCTCTGCAGATCCATCTTCTTCATCGCTCTTCAACACAAATTCAAACTTCAAAATAAACAAATTTCCGCTAATTTATACTAATTTCGTTATCGTGCAGTTTTCTCAACTTTGAGAGCTAACTGAGCTATTTTTTTTTTTGCCTTAATTTGTTCTTCAAGTACATTGCGTTGTTTCTGAAACCCCAATGGGTGCTTGCACTTCTAGACCCTCAAATTATTCCAGCGACAGCATTACTGTCGCCGGAAACGGAGCTACACTTCCGGTGAAAGCTACTCCGAACAATAATGAGGACGTTAACAGCCATCAGCAAGAAAGGACGAAAAAGGACGAAGCTGATGTAGGTAAAAAGTCACCTTTTTTCCCTTTCTACAGTCCTAGTCCGGCGCATTATTTGTTCTCCAAGAAATCTCCGTTGAGATCTCCGGCGAATGCCAGCTCTAATTCTACTCCTCGAAGGTTTTTTAAACGGCCATTTCCTCCGCCGTCTCCGGCGAAACACATCCGTGCTGTGTTGGCTCGGCGACACGGCTCTGTGAAACCGAATGAGTCTGCGATTCCCGAAGTAAATGAAACGGAGGTTGGCGGCGGCGGCGCGGGGCTTGATAAGAGTTTTGGATTTTCGAAGAATTTTGGGAACAAGTATGAACTGGGAGAGGAAGTTGGAAGAGGGCATTTTGGATATACTTGTAAAGCTAAGTTCAAGAAAGGTGAGGTTAAAGGACAAGAAGTTGCTGTAAAAGTCATCCCCAAATCAAAGGTTTGGCATTTTATGATACTCTCAATTTTCTTTCAAGTTTGATTAACTGATATGATCTATCATCTCTGTGGTCAAAGTTATTTGGATTATTCTCTTTTTTACTACTTGAGTATTAGTGGTCAGATCTACTCTACAGATTGTAGTCTTTGACTTTGTTATCTTTCTATTTTCAAATGTCCTTTTTGTACCACTTATTGTTTTTGTTTTCCAAATGGATCCATCATCTACTGTTTCCTTAGGTGGTATAGTAGATGATTTAAGTTCAAAGCTTAATTTTTCTTGGTAATTAAGTTTAAAGGCTGTGAAGTGATGGAATGAGGAAGCTTTTTACAGCTTCTGTTGCAGTGGCATACTTTATGGTGTTTGTGATTACATTTGTATGCTGGTGACTGTTTCAAAAGAAGCTATTCAATCTTTGCAGTGCACTATAGTCTGAGTTTTTCTTGAACTGTTTTTAGAGTCTGAAAATTATCTGTTCAATTGTCCATAAGATGCACTGAGATGAGATAAACTATGAGTAAATAGAGTATCGACATTATAATTGGATGCGATGAAAAGAGGAAGAACATCTTAAGGGTGTAAGGAAAGTCAAGGAAGAGGGGTGATGTTATCGTCCCTTTTTTTTCCCATTGATCATTGATGTCCAAAAACTTACAGTTGAGTTTGGAATGCCAAACTTTCGACATGACAATTGAGGTGAGACAACTAGTATTTGTCCTACCCAAAGAATTCTCTAACTTTACAAAAGTTGGTTCAAGCAGGTCTATATTTGATATTGGATGGCTTGGTTTGTTTGTTCCTAAAGGCCGGTTAGTTCCATCTGGTGTTCATGCTCCTTATTTGGTTTAGAAGTAAAAAAATAAAAGGAACATATTCTAGAGTAAAGTAGCTCTTATTTCTTAAAAAGTAAATGGGGAGATGGAGTTAAATGTGTTTTCTTTGCCTTCTAGTTGTACAAGTAACAAGAAGGAGAAGGATTTACTTCAATAAGTTAAGACTCCCTCCCACAACCCCCTCCCCTTCCTCTCCAATATCATACATGTTGTAGAGTTTAAGGGCTCTTAAAGTCTGCGTACATCCTACCCTCCTCAGACCCCACTTTTGGGATTACACTGGGTATGTTGTTGTTGTTGTCATTGTTACAACAGCAAAATCTTCTTGAATAATGTTATCAGTTCTCAGTCTGTCTTAATCAAGGCTGCTGACAGTTTGTGGATAGTTGGGAAGTCTGTCTTACTTAATAGGTGTTCTAATGAGAGCTTGCGATGTATTTGGCATGTGCTTCTCTCCTCTCCCCTCCTCCAAATTTCGGTGGAATTTATAACTGTTCAGTGAGCTGCTTTCTGGTGTTTCTAGCTTGATATTTCTATTTTGCTTGAATATTCCCTAATGTAAGTTGATGCATGCCTATTGTTGTTCAGAATGTGCATCAGTGTGTTTTTAAATTATCTTCTGGTGTTTTATCTGAAATATATGATCATATTCTTTTCCTTTTCCAGATGACTACTGCAATAGCCATTGAGGATGTGAGAAGAGAGGTGAAGATATTAAGAGCTTTGACAGGACATAGCAATTTAGTAAAATTTTATGATTCATATGAAGACCACACCAATGTCTACATAGTCATGGAGTAAGCTTCATCACTCAACTCCCATCACATTTACATTTGCAATGGGGTTCAGTCTCAAACTAAGGTTGAGAGAAAACTTTATTGGTTATCAACCAGAGTTTCAAGTAGCATGACAGTTTGTTTATTTTCTCAGCAAACATTTTTGTTCAATTATCATATTTTGCTCTTATCAGGAGCTTGATCTGCTAATTCCTTATCACACTGCTCTTTTGAAATACTGCTGATTAATCTCGTTAAATTTCAGGCTGTGTGAAGGAGGTGAGCTTTTGGATAGAATACTCTCTAGGTAGTTTTTGATCTTTCCCATGTTTCAATATTTTTGAATTCGAACCTTGTGTTTTAATTGATAGAGAAGGTGCTAAGTAGTAGTGTTCTTGTCCTGCAGAGGTGGAAAGTACTCAGAGGATGATGCAAAGACTGTAATGATACAAATACTGAAAGTTGTAGCATTTTGCCACCTTCAAGGTGTGGTACACCGGGATCTTAAGCCAGAGGTGGGAGGACTAAAGTTCTCACTCTATGATTGCTTTAGACTGAACAACATTTCAGCATATCTAGATATTTTACCCTGTGTAGAAGAGAGGAATTTTGTTCTGCACAAAAAAACGCCTTTTTCTTTACTGGGTCTTGGATTATGTTAATATTCCAAATGCAGTGTTTTTTCTTTCAGTTTCAAGTTGCGTAGATATATTATTCATCAGGCAGACTTAATGTTTGTCTCATCTAGTATTACAGTTTAGGAACTTCTTTATTTAGCTAGCAAGTGATAGAGAAGCTCAAATGTTCAGCCGTGCCATTTTGCTGTGGCTGAATCTATCACTTGTTAGAGAAGCTATGTCATCTGTTTCAGTAAGCCTTCCTCTCTATCAGACTCTCCGTTGTCTAATTCCAGCTTTCTGATTGACCAGAATTTCTTATTCACGTCTAAGGAGGAAAATGCACAACTTAAAGCAATAGACTTTGGACTGTCTGATTTTGTGAAGCCAGGTTAGTCCATTACTGTATCTCTGTAACCACTCCCCACCCCACCCCACCCAAAAAAAAAAGGAAAGTAGAAAAAAAAACTACCTTTCATAAAATTTGAGAAGCTCACCAACTTGTTTATGCACCTTGCTCAATTTCTTTGCAGATGAAAGACTTAATGATATAGTTGGTAGTGCATATTATGTCGCGCCCGAGGTTCTACATAGATCTTATAGTACAGAGGCTGATGTTTGGAGTATAGGTGTCATAGCATATATCCTATTGTGTGGAAGCCGTCCTTTTTGGGCTCGAACAGAATCTGGGATATTTAGGTCTGTCCTCAAAGCTGATCCAAGTTTTGAAGAACAGCCTTGGCCTACATTATCTTCTGAGGCGAAAGACTTTGTGAAACGTCTATTGAATAAGGATCCCCGGAAAAGAATGACTGCAGCTCAGGCTTTGGGTGAGTTTCTTGAGTTATATTGGAAAAGACGATCTTTTTGTTCTTTAAATTTCTCCAAACTGCTGAACAACTTACTGTCTCAGGTCATCCATGGATAAAGAATAGTCACAACATAGAAGTGGCTTTGGATATTCTGATATTCAAACTGATGAAGGCTTACATGCGGTCCTCTGCTCTTAGGAAAGCTGCACTACGGGTGTGTATGATGCTACTGTGAAAAGTTTTTCTGTTCCCATTTTATCTTCCGAGTCCAATGCTACATGTCGAGTAATAAAAGCTCTGTTTAGTACCTCATAGTGTTTGCTGAAATTTCATACTGATCTTTTGCATTGGGCTTCATGGCCTTGTCACTTCTACAATTTTTGCAGGCTTTGTCAAAGACATTGACAGTAGATGAGCTATTCTATTTGAAGGAGCAGTTTGCACTGCTACAACCAAGCAAAAATGGCACCATAAGTTTCGACAATGTTAAAACGGTCCGTCTTTTGGAAAAAAGAACGATTTATTAGTCTCTTGTAGTATCTTTCATGTTTTTGCTGATCTTCATGATTTTACCAGGCCCTGATGAAACATGCAACAGATGCAATGAAGGAAGCTCGCATCCATGATTTTCTTGCATCGGTAGATTTTGAGATCCTATTGACTTCAGATATTTGACTGGTGTTGTCATTGTTAAGGGTTTAATAAATACTCATTGTCCTTGTCATGCAGCTTAATGCGCTGCAGTACAGGAGGATGGATTTTGAAGAGTTTTGTGCAGCGGCATTAAGTGTTCATCAACTTGAGGCTTTTGATCGGTGGGAACAACATGCACGTTGTGCCTATGAAATCTTTGAGAAGGAAGGCAATAGGGCCATTATGATAGAAGAATTAGCTTCGGTAATCATGGTTAATTTTTTATTCTGAATATTGATTGCCACGTCTCAGTCTCTTATATAACGGTCTCGTTTTTTTCCTTTTCGGGAGAGGAGAGTGTGCAAGTGATTGGGGAAGCAATCTAACTGAATATAATTTCAAATTGTTGGTCCAGGAACTTGGTCTTAGCCCTTCGGTTCCTGTCCATGCTGTTCTACATGACTGGCTCAGGCACACTGACGGAAAGCTCAGTTTTCTTGGTTTTGCAAAGTTGTTGCATGGAGTGTCTAGCCGTTCAGTTACAAAAGTTCAATGATTCAAGCCCCACTGAATCAGAAAATGGTTCTCTTGGTGTATCCACATTCTCGTTATGAATGCATTGTTTGGCAGTCAAATGACCTTGGAGTGAAGAATGACGAAGATCAACTTATGTCCCTCATTCTGGAGCTTCATAGATCTCATTATTTTTTCTGGGACTAGTATGAGATTCCATGGAACAACTTTCCAGGAGAGGATGAGAGGTTTGACCGCCGTGTGTTATCAGAGCAGTGACATCCTGCATATAGAGTTCTTACTGTAAAGCTGTAGTTAGTTATGTTTGATTGCAGGTGAGAGTACTTCTCAGCTGGTTTTTGGTCACACACTAGGTGTTTTAACCTGTTGGACATGCGCTGATGTCTACAATTGCATTGTGTAATGTTGTCTACATGTCTTTCTAGTTTAGTAGTTCCACCTCTTCCTTTTTCTTGCTTCTCAACTAGATTGGAATATATGTGACTCGAAATGATCAATCATCGCGATAGTCATCAACTTTTTAGCTAAAAGCCTCGCTAAGGATTAAGTTAGTGAAGTCTAGGTGATATTTTTCCATCCGCCTTAGTCTTAATCAATAGTTACCTTGTACGTGCATGCAATCTAACCCGCTTACCACCTTTGTTAAAGGTTAGGTAGGGATGATGAAGTAGTCATTGAAAGCATGTACCAAATTGTTCAGTTGGTTGTCCTTAATCTATTTGTCTTTCCTCCAGCCTTATTTTAAGTAGGGAGGATATTGAAATATTGAACGACGAACACACGCTAAATTAACTTGATAACCGTCATCACTAAATGATGATTTATTAAAACCAAATTAACTTGATTTTGAAAGATGAATCAAATTTCAATTTTTTGTACATTAAATTGTTAAAGATTACCGTTTATTTGACTTGATTTGTAACCATTTTACATCATTTCACGAGAAATTAGTGACGGGAAGTTAAATAGATTCAACCCATCTCGGGCAATTTGAATTATAAAAAAAAAGTGCGTTAAGTAATGGGGACCTTAAAATTAGGGCATTTTGAATGAAAATGGGTAGTCTCTTGTTGAGATGATGGAAAGGAGTAGAGCAAAACGCAGTGTCATTGAGATTTCCTCTTCTTCCGAACAAGAAAATGGCGACGAAGAAGAAGAAGGAGAAAGTTCAGAAGAATCAGTACAATTATTAGAATCGGATGACGATTTTGATGCCGCTAGTAAAGATGATTTTGACTCCTCCGCCTCAAGGTATTAATTTCCAATATTACGCCTCAATTCTAAACTAATTTTGTTAGGGTATATGAATGATTTATGTTCATATCTTTGTAAATTTTAATGATGATCATATTTGGTCAGCGAGAGCAACGGTGATTCCGAAGATGAGGAGGAAGAGGAGTCTTCCGGGTCTCAAGAACATGATGATGAGGATATCCAAGAGGAAGGTGAGGAATTGAGTAGCGATAGAGTGCTTCGGCTTCTCCAAGGTATGAAGATTTTCTGCTCTTAGGTTTCTGGTAATCTACTGATAAACGAAAGAAAACTAAGTTTGCACTAAATCCCTATATTTTTTGGGGAAAATTGGTTATTCTTTAACTAAATTCCTATGTTTTTTGTCAGTGGCTTTCTTCTCAATTGGGTTAAATGTTGGGGGAAAACGTCATGTGTTGTTTTTTTTTAATTCTATATCCCATCAAGAACAACTCATGACGTTTTCCAGGTGTTATTGGAGCCAAGTGAACATGAAGAATTTTTTTATATGGAAGTCCAGTTGATACTAGTTTTCCACATGAGCTTTTGTGGCCACAGAAAGGAAGGGTGCAAAGCAATAAAATTTACTCATTATTCAATGGACAATTTGGGGTATTATCAATTATAATGTAAACTGTGGATCCTGACATTTATACACAATGCACTTCTATATTTTTCAAAGGGGTTCATAACTTGATCTCTTTTCAAGGTGGAGGAGTAGGCAAATGCATAAAGATTTTCCAACTATTTGCAAGTTTTTGTCTTATTTCAACTCTAATTATTTCAAACAGAATAAATTGGCTAGTTGCGGTATCTCTAATATATGTATATATCATCTTTTTTGTGTTATATAGGTGGTGGAGAATTGAGGAAGCTAAGGGCAGGATTGGGGAAGCTCACGTTGATGGACTATAAAGCATATTTGCGATCAAATGGGTTGAGGTTATCAGGTACAAAAGAAGAAAGTATACAGAGGATCATAGAGCACTGGAGGTACGTCTGAGTGTAAGATGTAAACCTGATGTATTTAAATGCAGCACTAGAATTTTTGTGTATGTCCAATAGAGTGTTTCTCTCATGGCATTCCATCAACCATTTCTATAATATCTTTCTTTTTTGTATATTGTTGTTTTTTTGTTTCCTGTTATGTTTTGTTTTGTGGTGCAAGGATGGATCTCATTAATAGCTAGAGCTTCAAGCATTCAGATTGCTGAGTATGAGCAGCCAGCTTGAGATTGCATAAGAATATTTAAGAAAAAGGGATAAAACTTTGCAAATTACTGGTGCATATAGTTAAGCAAATTAAAAACCCTGGTTTGCATCATTAGTGAGACCTAGAAGTGCTCCATGATTTTGTTCCTACTTCATCATTCTAAATTTGCAACTGACAGCAAAAGTTCCGTTCTATGTGCTACAATTGATTTCTGAATCATTCTGAAGATTCAACCAACTAAAAGTTGTGTTTTGGATTAACTGTAAATATGATCTTGTCACTCCATATTTTGAACTGTATTGTTCCTTTTCCCAGTAGTCTTTTATTCTTTTCCTCCTATGCTAATGGGAAGTCTTATTGCTTCATTTGTACACAGGATTAAAGATGGAAATGGTCAAAGACAATATCCCAGATCATCTTTTACCATAAACTGCACCGGTAGTTAATATTTGGCATCATGACACCTCAGAATCTCTCTGTTTCACCTATGCTTCTTGTACTTCCCCTTTTGTTTTTGATCTTTGAGTATTTAGCCTGGTGATTCTTTGTGCAGGTGACGTATGTAAAGGAGACGTTGTATTATTCAAACAGAAAGTGTACAACAAGTATTCACCTGATCGATTCTCCTGTTTGTTTCACATTTTGTCAGTGTAGAGTGGTCTTTGCCTTTTGGATTAATCATGTCGTGTTTTGAAGTTTTGACAAGATGGCAAGGGGTGGAGAACAATTAGGGAAGAGAACCATTGCTGGTAGGATTGTCAAGGAGAGCTATGGCTCTGCCAAACAGCAGCATACCTTTACGGTAAGGCTCAAGAGGAAGTTTTGAGCGCACTGAGACATCTGATTATAAGTGTAATAAACTTGTTCTGGGTGAGACTGAGAGATTGTGGATATAAGCTTTCTTGAAAACCTAGCAGTCTAGCACTATCATTCTTCTAATAACCCTTTTGTGCAATTTCATATGCAAAGTTTTGCTAAATACATCTCCATCTACTTTTTGTGATTAACAAGGTTGAGGTGTTATGGAGCGTAGGGGTTAAACAATTACCTCCACTTTTTCCATTGCTTGTGAAGGGACGAAACCTTTATAAATTGAACACTTTCAGACAGGTGAACCTGCAGCCATTCTGGAGTACCTGTAGTTCTTGTCAAATATTCTCTCACTTTAACTGTAATTGCTGCTGGATAATCAGAAATGGAAGGATGAAGAGGAAAGACTAGAAGTGCTCGCAGAGAAGCACAAACGTGGAGATGCAGCAAGATTTATTAGAGCAACAAGAAAATCAAAATCAACAAAGCCGACAAAAGCATCCTCTAAAAATAAAGGTGCCTTTTACGGAAATTAAAATGATGCATCACCAGCTTTTCACTCAATACACACTAGAACTTTATGTTTACTCTAATGTAGTTTTTGTTACATGTAGGTAACAAGCGCCAGAAACTTGATCATCATAGGAGGCCAAGCGAAATGATGCGGACAAGCAATGTAAAGAAACATTATTATTCTATTGATGAACGTGGGAAAGCAATGGCAGGAAGTAAAAGAACGAAAAACCACCAGCGAAAGCCTCATCCACCAGGAAGATTAAATTTGGCAGAGTCCAGAAACAGTAGACCCCCTATGAGGAATCCAAACTTTGTGCCTGCCATTAGGGAGACCTCATTGCAGTTCAATTATCCTCCAGCAAATAATTTCCGCCATTTTGAATCAGATTCTTACAGCCAAAGAGTACCATATTCTTATTCATCTTACTGGGGTTCAGCGCCCAGATCACATTTAAGCTCTTACTCCTCTTATACTTTGCCTGCTCCAGAATATCAGCAATATGGTCATGGAAGTAATCCAAATTCTTCATACACTAGGTATGTATCTCAGTCTAGCAATTATCCGCATTACCCTGGCATGGTGGGTACTCATGGATCATCTAGCTCATTCCCATTTGTAAACTATGAACGTAGATGGAACCTTTAGCTTTTTGTCTCTCTCTTGCTCTGGCTTGTGCTCTGCACACAGCAGCAGCAAGGGGTTTACATAAACAAAATAGTGCAAGGGGTCTTAAACTGGCATTTGGAACATTGCCTTTTTAGTAAATGTCGAATTTCAAATATATGTACAGCAATCTGCAGAAGTGTTGTCTTCAATTGGTATATTAAAGCTCTCGTCTCTTTTTTAGTTTTAGTTCTTCCTTTTGAAGTGGCAACTTCAAAATTTACCGTTGAATCTTGTTCATCTATTCCTATTTTTTCTTTTAGTTGAGCTTCTCTATTTGCTTGCTTTGAGGTGAAAATCTACTAGAGAAATTTTCTTCCTATTATTATTGGTTTACGGGTTGACTGATAATCTTTATACTTAGGGGTCGTTTGGTTGGGAACAAGTTATTTCATCATGTATTTGGGATAACTTATCCTTGCATTAAGGTATAAATAATATAGAAAGACCGAACCAAATGACTCCTTATTTGATTTTCTTCTTGTTATTATTATTATAATCAAATTCCTTTTTTATGTATGAGTTTTTACTTACACAACTAAGAGGGTGTTTGGATTGGATTAAAAGTTGGTCAAACCTACTTTTAAGTCAGTTTTTGACTTTTGAAAGTGTTTGACAAATATAAAAAATAATTTAAAATAAGTAAAAAATGATTTAAAATAAGTTGAGAAGAGTTTGGTAAGGTCAAGAATGACTTAAAATAAGTCAAAAATCAAAAGTAGGTCTCCCCCTACTTTTTAGTTTTTGATTTAAAAGTCATTTCAATTTGATTTTTTTTTTTTGACTTAAAAACTATTTTTTTAAACTAATTCAAACGGGCCCTTAATACTACTCCTTCCATCTCTCAATTCATGTGATCAACTTTTTTTTAGTCGGTCTTTCTATATTTAATCTATATTTAAAAATAAATTAAATATAGACTTCTCATTTATCATTGTTGTTGAGATGATTTATAGCCACACATCTGGTTTTAAATAACAAGTTTAAAATGTCTTTCTTGAGCTATATGCCCAGTCAAACAACATCACAAAAATTTATACACAAGTAGTACACAAATAAACTATAACCGTCTTAGAAATTAGGTATATCTGTTAGGATGATGATGTGCAACGTTTTTGCTCTGAAACAGCACCGTGGACTCTTGAAACACCTCACCAACGGTAGCATCAGTATGCTATGGTTTGGCATAAATTTTGAAAATTTAATTTTAAATATATGATTGATCATAAAATTTGATTTCAAGTCCTCAGAAATTAACCCAGATCAATTTGTTTGAACTTTCACCCATAAAACTTCAAATAAAATACAAATTCAAATAATTTTAAAAATTTAAATTTCTAAGTTTCAAACTCAAAAGTTAACCAAGAGAGCTGAGAAAATGAAAGGTTAGTAATGGGTTTGGTGTTGGCATCGTTGCCTTTTGAGATTTAGACTGGCAATGATAAGACTAATCATTTTGGTTTGTGTCAGCTATAAACACTTATGGGCCACAAATGGATGACGACTTATATTTTTCTTTGGTCCACATATGTATCGGAGGTTACATGTACTTCATAAAGAAGTCAGTTACTTGTGTTCTCAATTAGAACACGAATGCCACTTCTAACCATTCACAGACCTGTCCCTACCTAATTTATAATTCTCCGTTTTAATTTATTGTGACAAAGTTTAAAACTCATACGAAGATCTTATTCACCTGTTCACATTGCTTCAAATTCAATTGTTACAATCCCAAACCAAATCAAATGTACATAAAATCCCAATCAATCATCATACAATACCACACTAAATTGAAAATGTCTAACTTATTATAGCAGTACATATTCTTGTTTCTACATATCTCTTTGGTTGAAAGGATGAAGATCAATCTCTTGGGTCCAAGCAGATCTATCTTGAATGTGCAAGTACCAGTAGGTCTGGGCCAGCGCGTCCGGGTTCATCAATCCATCCCTTCCTACGCTTTGCTGTGAATTGGATAACATTGCCCCCCTGCATACACAACTCATGACAGTTGGCTAATCTGCAACAAGTAGCACCTTCACATATCCTAACGTTATTGTTAATTCATGCTTTCCGGATATAAGGTTCATTCCGGAAGCGGATTTAGTTGAAATCATGTTTTTGGCTCAAATAGTACGGTGTTTTGGTTTGCTAAATCCTTTTGGATCCCTTATCTACAGGGCAGGCAACTAACTGGCACTGGTATGCAAATTTTCCAGTAGTCCTATCTGAACTGTGCCTTTAATATCCATGCCCCACTAGGGCATATATATAAAGTAGAATTGCTTTTTGGGGCATCAAGAGCCTTAACAGGTAAGAGCAGAGCATTCTACTCGTTATAATTGCTTAAAGAATTTAACTAGATCTTTCTGGTCCACAATCTTTATTAAGGCTGACTTTTTCTTTGCACCACTTGATGGATTCATTTATGAGTATATTCTATTGCTACAAGATAATTACATTGGTTCACTACTCTCATGGAATAAGCAGTCCAACAAAAAAAATCATTTGGAAACTGAGTTGTCATTGTTACAAACAAGAAAGATTCCTGCATCTTCTTTCTTGGATAAAAAAAGAATATATATGAAGATATAAATTAAAAGTTTTGAGTAAGCAGAAAAGTTTTTCCAAAACTAGTAAGAAGGGAATATATAATGAGTGGACAAGTGGAGAGTAGTACCGAGGTGCGCCGACGATGCCGTGGATGATGACATGTGCCACGTGTATTCCAAGTGGCTGGAACTCTCTTGCTAGGCATTCGGATAACCCTCTCATTGCAAACTTTCCACAGCCTTTCGATTTCAAAAGCAAAGTTGGGGCGTAAATTAGTTACTCACTAATATCATTATCATTCGAAAACTGAAATTTCCAAAAGAAGAAGGAATTAGTAATAATATACATAATTCGGAGTAGCCGGCAATGCCATTAAGAGAAGCTGAGCAACCACTAAACAGAATCGTCCCTCTTCCTCTTTCCACCATTCCTGGTACTACCTGAAAAAAATTTATTCCCATACAACAAACTTTCAATTCACACACTCGTAGTATTAGTATAAAGATTTTTTACACCATGAAGCATTTTTTTCGTTTCAATTTCCTGCTCTGGTTTTAAATTGATATAGAGTTTTAGAAAGTAAAGTAATATACGTTGTTTAAACTGCCTGTTGGATAAAAATTAGAACTAATTAAAGAGTTGCAAAAATAAATGTACTAATTTTTTAGACGAACTTTAAAAAAGTTGTGACCTGTTGAGCGCAGTGGAAGGCGCCGACGGAGGAGATGGCGATAGATTTTTCAAATTGTTCGACTTTAATGTCGGTAAAATTAGTGGGATTCCAAGATACTGGCTGATATGCATTGTAAACCAAGACTTCCACAAAACCCAGTGATAGAACTCCCTCAAATGCCTCTCTTACGCTTCGTAAATCGGAGCAATCGATTCGGATAGCAAATACCTGCGCCTTCTCTTCTCTCGCTATCTCATCAGCAAATCTAGATAATCTATCTGTAAATAACACACACAAAATAAAAATAAAAATATATATATATATGTATAAATTTCCAGTTGCATGTCCATCTTTATAGTGTGACAATAGAACCTTCAATTACGACATCAAATCCAGTGAATTTCCACCGGTGAAATCTGGAAAGAGTAGAATGTAACATTACCTCAACCTTTACAGAGATCTATATTCAAAAAATCTTCAGTTCAAGTATTACACATGTAATACCATAGCAATAAGAAAATTGAAAAAATATACAAATGAAATAACCAAAGCACAAAAAGCAACATGTAGTAACAGAGAACTAACTACAAGAAACAATACCTATTATTCTCCTGCTATGGAAAGTAATAGTGCGCTAAACTACCACTCAGTTTATATGGAAAGTCATGGAACTGCGAAATTCACAAAAATTAAATCCTGAATAGCAAAATAGAAGAAGAGAAAGAAGTTAAATTACCCAAGTCACGGGCTAGAATAGCAACTGTATAACCTTCATGGGCGAACTTGCGAGCGATGGAGCGTCCAAGATTAGGCCCAACGCCCACAATGGCGGCTATGCCTCTGGATGAGGCGGAACTCGCCATGGTCCGCATCTTCTAATTAATGAAATGCAGGTGCGATTCAGCTCAAAAAGTTTCTTTGTGTTGAAGGAATTTAAACCACCGTATGTATGTGTATACGTATATATATATTGTGGGGGAATTTTGTGTCGCTTTCTGAATTTTGCTGCTTCCTATGGAAGAGGCAATAAACTGTATAGTATAATTGGATGATCCTTCTTTTCTAAATTAGGTATATAGAAAGTATGGACTAGGACGCTCCACACTTATTTCCTAATGATTGCGCTGCTGTCAACTATAGTCCCTCTCGTCCAACATACTTGTCCCAGTTTTTATTTATAGAGTCTTTTAAGAAATTATGTGTTTTGATTATTATATTTTAATTTATTATAAGGCGAAATGGTCGGATGGACTCTTGTATTTGTATTCTGAACTCTTCTACTTAATTTCTTGTCAATTGGACCCTTAAACTCAAGGAAAATCAATATTTTAAGCTCTTCAGATCATTGACAAAGCTTATGTGACAATTTAATTATTGAGTTGACACCAACACGTGATTTCACGCGTAGAAGGAGCGTGAACTCCAAATTTAGACTAAAAAAATATTATTATTTTTAAAAAAAAGACCAAAACAAAAGAAAAGAAAACCACTTCTTTCTTCTTTCCCTCCCAACCCACCCCACCCCATTTCTCTTTCTCTCTCTAATTACCATTACCTTCTTTCCCATCTAACCTCCATTTCTTTTTATATCTCCCTTCCCAGCTATCTCCAAGTTCTCTTTTCTTTCCTTTTTTCATATTTTCTTTCTTCGTAGAGAAACGAAAATGTGTTGTTATGGTAGATTTGTTTTTCTTTCCTTTTTTCTGGGTTATTTACCTTCCATAAGGTGACAAAGATTCAATAGTCTTGAAGGATGAAAAGTGATTGTTTAATGTCTTTGTGAAATTAGGTGAAATGTGTTATGTAAAATTGCGTATAAATATTGTGATTTATCGTGATATTTTAATGGTGATTTATTGGCATTAATGGAGAAAAGAAATTCATGGTGGTTCAAATGAATGATGTAAACATTGGTAGAAAAATATTATT